TTTTTTCCCCAATTTTTTTCAACGCATTCGGTTGCTGGCTGTCTCTTCTCAAATATCAAGAGAGATGCAGTATAGGGATTTGGACATTCTTCTTGCATTGCTGCTGCCATGTTTCAGAAACCATCTTTAGCTTTAGAGCGAGGGTGTCAAACATAAATCCTGCCGGGCCAGAACTGGTCCGCATGGGGTTCAATCCTGCCCGCTTAATGGATTTTGAAAGTAAAAAAAAAACTGAACAAGCACATCACGTTTGTAATGTATATTTAATCAGGGGAAAACCAGAACTTAGTGTTATGTATGGGTAATTATGTTCTAATTGTACTGCTCCGACCCACTTGACATCTTATCAGGCCGTATGTGACCTCTGAACCAAAATGAGTTTGACACCCCTGACCTAAAGGTTTTTCACCTTCTGGTAGAATTGTCATCAAGAGTCACAAAAAAAAAAACTAGCTTCGGGTCAGTTTGGGAAGTGCTTGATCAATATATCATGTAAAGGGTTCTGTTGGGGAACAATGCATTGCTGCTGTGGAACGCTGGTAAAGCTTCGTGCTGTGTTTTCCTTTTTCCATACCACTGCAAAAACTGCCTGATTCTTCACAGAGGCCACTGTTTGATCCTACACATAAGCAGTAATTTAATGTACGTTGACACATTGTTCAGCCTCTTTCTATTCTCCGCCTCATCCATCACTTGCTCTTTCTCCTGGCCTGGGTGCACTGTAGTAATGATATGTGTTTTAAATGTGTCCAAGTACTGCATCAATAACTCCATGGCCGTGCCTCTTATTGGTCCTACAAGCACTTACACTACACCTGCCAGCTCCCACAAAAACTGTTTTCTGTTGCAGTCAGCAACTCAGACGTTTCATTATTGACAGCCTCAAAGACGTGTTGTTGTTTTTTTTTGTTTTTTTTTCCAGCTGCACAGATTACTTTAATATGCACTTCACCCACCATTTCTGTCCTTCAACGTATCCCTGCGAGATATCGATCTGGAACCTCTTTTGTTGTCAGATAATGATTACTGGTGAAGCCTTCAATACAGACCCATTCTGTGCTGTTACAGTTTCAAACCAGTTCTTGCTTCAAGGGCTAAATCCTTTTTTTTTTCTTAATGTTGTGGGAGTTCCTGGCACTGACTGCACTGTGAGTTTACCAGCACATGAAACCAGCTTCACATAAGAATGCCATTTATTCCATGCAGACTACTGGTAAGTTGTTTAAAGGACTGGGTTTGTAAGAACAGGATTGCAGTTCGCATCTCGGTCTAGTGCTCTGTTGTTTTGAACAAGCACCAAAAACTCCCCCACTCGCTGAGTGCATTACCAAAGTGCTGCCCACGCCTCCTGTGTGCAGTTAACACAGATGGGAGTGTTTTTGCTCTCAGGGGAACCGGAAACTAAAAAAAAAAAAAAAAGAAAGAATGAGACAACCTGAGTTTTCAATGTCAAAGACTGTTGGACCAGACCAAGTTTGGTCCAACGTGACGTCATAGGAGAGCCAACCATAATTAAAGTTGGGCTTGGATGTAGCCCTAATTTTCAATGCCAGAAGCGGACCACTAATGGACCATAATTTAGTGCTGAATTAAAGCCAATGGAAACTAAATTACATGGTCCATCACTGCCCCATGCCAATTTTGCTATTTGGGTTGGGTTTGTATCACAGGGTAAATCGCTAACTTTTCTCTATTGGAATCTTTATTGTTCTTCTCATAGAAAAAGAAAAAAAAAAAAGATAGTTGAAGTTGAAGCAGCTCTCTACGTCGTGACTGGTTAATGAAGGAGAACAGTTTACAAACAGTTGTTAAAGTGGGAAAATGACCACTTTTATATTGGCTTTGAGTGTCTAATCTCTAAAATTTATCCTTATTATATATATGAGCTTTTTATCTGCATGTTTCATACCTTCTGTCCCATCTAGTATGTGAACATACTCAACAGCACTGTTCTCCTGAAAGACACCCGACAGTGATCAGAGTATTGATTCCATGGACTCGGTATATCGATACTCATACGATTATCGATTGAGTACAGATAACGCTCATTAAGTATCAATACTAATTAATAAACTGTCCATGTGTCACTTCCACATATTTAAGGGTAACTTACTACATATACCCCGCCTCCATCTTCCCGTCCTCCCGAATGTAAAATTCAACTGATCCAAGTAATTTCATTTGTTATTGTCATTGGTGTGAAACCCCAGGGTTCACCTCATAGGCAAGTTCAAATCCCAGTTAGGACGGTTGGAACCTTCTAGTGGACTCACCACCTGCAGGAAGGTTCAGGGGGGTTGGTACAGTGCAGTGTGATTTGGGTGGTGGTCATGGAGACTGCTGCCCCTGAACCTGGTAACGGATAAGGGGATGAAAATGGATGGATGGGAGTTGGTAAATGATCATGAAGTACAGTATCATTATCGGGGGAAAAAATTGTACCGTATTAAATAGTATTAAAAATGATACCCAAAAATGGCAACTGGACAAAGTAGGTTTCTTGAAGATTTTTGACCTCTCATCCAATAGGCTTCTTCAGTTCTAGTGTTCGAAGAAGCCTCTTGGATTAGAGGTGAAACGTCTTCAAGAAACCTACTGCGTCCGGTTGCCCTCGATGTAACAATTTTTTGGATAAGATGACCTGGATGACTGAGAACCCACACAGACATAAAAAATGATAGTTTCGCTAGTCACTAGTATCCAACGCATATGGAAACACAGGGTCTCACATCTTTGTTAACCCGGATGACTGAGAACCCACAGACATAAAAAATGATAGTTTTTCTCGTCATTAGTATCCAACGCATTTGGAAACACAGGGTCTCACATCTTTGTTTCTTCCTTATTTCCTCAACCTGTCAATTACGGGTCTGTTGGGGTTGACATTCTTAAAATGTCAATTATGGGTCTGTTGGGGTTGACATTCTTAAAAAAAGAATATCTGGTTCAGAACCTTCTCGTGTCTAATCATGTTGTAAATTAATTGTGCTTTGTCTAAATACATGAACAGTTTCCACAGAAAATACCAATATCTTATTTATCAGTAGAAAGTGTTTAACATTCAGTGCTGGAATGAAAAAAAAAATGTATAAAAGTGATAACTCAGTGTGTTACTCAGGGAATTGTCCGATTTGGATCTTTCCTGTTTCTCTTTAAATTCATCATCTCCGGATGTTCAATTTGTTGGAGAGGCAGTCCAAAGATTTGTCATGCTACTAGATTGTATTTTAGGATATAAATGAAAGTTCTCGCAGACAGTGAAGTGTAGTGTGCAGCCAACCCGGACGTGGTGGGAAATAAGAAATAATAAGAAAGGACCAGATGAAAAAGAGGCAGCGGTGGAGATTAAAATAATGACAATGGAGAAGTAGACCAGCAAATAGATTACAGACGGAAAAGATGATTGGATCATTTTAAACGCCAACTTTCATTAATGAGCACAACTTGGAAAGAGACAGACACTTCACAGGAAGTAAAGAGGTGGAGATAAGGATAAGAGACGCAAAAACAGGAGAAAAGAAGGAGAAAAAACAGACAAGCAGCTTAAAGCCTGCAGGCAAAAGGAAAACAAAAATGCTATAAACAAACAAACAAACAAACAAAATTGAAAATATAAATGAAACAAAGACAGAATTCTCTTGGGCAGCAAATAGGAAATGGAGAAATTCCTTTGGATGTAGGAATTATATTTAATTTTTTTTTCCACTACTCAATCAAAATCTCTTTGGGCTTTACTAACCAATCATGATCAATAATCAAAAAAATTCAAAATCTTATAACTGTGCAACGTTTGCTTCCGCATGTAGCAGGACGAACCACTGATCCAAGATCAGCTTTTACCTTGTCTGCTGACTTTCTTTCTTAACTCCAACTTACCCTTCCTTTTTTTTTTTTTTTTGACACAACCTCTTCACATGTCTACTACAAACAGCGCTCTCACCCATGTTTTTTTCTTCTCTTCCAGATCCTGGCGCAGTGGTGGAGGCTCACAGTGCAATGCCATATGCAGTGATAGGTTGCGTTCTGGCGCTGCTGGTTTTCACTGTAATATGTGTCCTTATTGTCACCATCTGGTGCTCTGTCAGACAGAAAGGTAACACACACACACACTCATGACACTCACACGACATATGACATATATATAACTGTTCATTTATTGCTGTTGCTGGGACAAACCACGGCAATATGATAATGTTAGTTACATTTTCTAAGGGAATAGTACCGTAATGTTCGGACTATAAGCCGCTACTTTTTTCACACAATTTGAAACCTGCGGCTTAAACAATGTAATTGTAATTGTAAACAATTTTTATGGGCTAACGAAGTTCATACCGCTAACGATCAATGACTTTTCTGGAAGGTTACTCTGTGTTATACCAGTAGGGTATGTGAATGGCTGTGTGCGTATATGTGCGTGGGACTCGCGAGGGATAACGGTAGCGAAAGTTCTGAGCCCTGTCATGTTGAAGCATGAGTTGGTTATACAGGAGCTGTTAAAACGCTGTTTATGTTCTGTTGTGCTCGGCGTGGCTGATAATAAAGACTTCCAGAAACTTCCCTGTTTCTGTTTACCTCTGCTGCGGACAAGCACAAAGTGAAGGGAGTTAGCCCCGAAGCTAATGTTAGCTTCAGCCCTGGAGCAGATTACTAAGTCTCCTCTGTGCATTCCAACTATGGTCAACGCGTCGAAGCAGGGAAGAGCTAACGTGTAGCCGTGTTACAGGAACTGTTCGGAAAAAAACATTTATTTAATTAAAAGAGAAAAAAAAAATCTTTCTGTGTACAGTGTTCCTTCGTTTACTGGGAACTGGCTCTTTTTTGCGAGGCTGCAAAAACATCGTGATCGGCAGTTGCTTCCGCCGCTTCTTGTGCCAGTCGAAGAGTAGCTTGTAGGCAGTCA